GTGTGTGTGTGTGTGTGTGTGTGTGTGTGTGCGTGCATGTGTGTGTGTGTGTCTAGAGCCAAAACAGAATGTTCAGATGGGTAAGGAGAATGCCATTCTGACCCTTTGGGAAGGAACCAGACGATGAACACTTGCGCAGACAAGCACACACAGTACCCTGTCGTCTCACACAAATGCTTGTAAACACAGACTCAAGAACAATTTTCAGGATACTGAACTGTAGAGACATGCTATTTATTTTAACTGTGTGCACTTTATCCTTAAAAATAGCTAGTTTTCTTGAAGACCTTGTCTAAGTCTAAATAAATAATCATTTCAGCTGTAATTAAAAGAAATACTCAAAGTTTTGATTTGATCTACAACACTGTCAGTGTGAAAGCAGCTGCTGTTGCAGTTATGTTGCTGCTTTGCTTACATACGGCTTTTGTCTGGTATAAAATGTGATTTTTTTTAAGTTTTGTGTTCTACGTGCTTGATCTCACTTTCTTTTACCATCTTGTGCTTCTCTGTGAGGTAGTGATTAGTGATTTTGTGCATGTATTTACTCTGCGTGAGTCTAGCATCTGTTCTTTCTAATTAGCCACCAGGAGACGGATGAAGAGAGAGAGAGACAAACAGAGAGAGTGGAGGAGAGATAGAGAGAAAAAGAGAGGGGGTGGAGGGTGGAGGAAAGTAGGGAGAGAACACAACAGGGGGAATAGAAGAAAGGGTGGGAAAAAAGGGACAGAAAATGTGACTGAGGAAATAAAGAAGAAAAAAAAGAAAGCAGGAAGTGCGACAGAGAATCATGGGGTCCTAAAAACACACACTGAATTATTAGAGGGATAATTCACCCAAAAATGACAATTCTATCATAAAAGTAGTCCATGACTCATGCATAAGTCTTCTGAAGCCATAAGGGAAACCGATTCAAATTTATCTTGTTATTCACTGATAATCTTACCCTCCAGTGGTCTGATAACTGCTGTGAGCAGATCATTGAGCTGAACTCAAGAACCGCAGGATTTGTGAATGAATCCTTCAGAACAGTTCTAAGAACAAGATTACATGATTCACTGAAAAGACTTGACTAAAAAGAATGATTCACTACTTCCCTCAAGTAGCTACTGCATTAGCATTAGACATATGGACTACTTTTAAGGTATTTCTGGTGCTTTTTGAAGCTTATAAACCCTCTTTTTGTTACACATATTTGAAACAAGGTCCAAAACAACTATGTCAGTAACCACAAAGGGATGCACGATATTGTATTTTTGCCGATATGCGATATGTCTGTATTTTTCAACTCATTTTGGCCGATAGCCAATGCCGATACAAACTATATTTCCGTTTGTTTCTAAACAGCACCAAGTCTATCCTGTGCAGAGATTATAAACAAATTATTTTTACTTATTAGAATTAAATAAACAATTAATGAAGTTCTTTTATAATGAGAGCACACTGAAAGCTGAAAATAACTATAAATCAATCACTGCATTTTTTTCCAGACAAATGCAGTGGTAACCTTTTATTTGAAGATTTAAGATTGGTAGATGGTCGAGAGCAAAAGAGTTGTAAAAATTCTGAAAATCTTTTAGAGCTCATTGTATTTAAATTTCATAATCCGTTTGAAAACAAATTGGTTTGGCTTGGTTTGATTTGATTTGGACGCAAGACAGAGTTTCTGTGCCAAACACACTCCTTCTGGGTTCGTATGTTTCGGAAAGTTTTTTTCAAACATGGCCCTTCATGACATCATGAAAGGCGTAATTCCTTGTATGGGCACTTCTCCCAGAAGAGCGCACACACACGTAAACCAGAGCGAGAGCACGCCTATCAACGTCATCGGCAGTAGACTGTGTTTTGTTAGCAGTCGGTGCACAAGTGCTCGTGACTCTTTAGCTCCGCCCACGGCACGCCTCCAGGAGCTTGGCTGTTTTCAGAGGGAATTGTAAAGCTGTATCTTTTGTTTATAAATATGACAAAACTCCTTGGAAATATGAAGGATGCAATACTACTCTATAAGTATTCGAGATTAACATGACATTGAGCGAAACTGTGTGTGTTATGTCCCCTTTAATTTACAAGTGTCATGTGTGTGATTTTTATTTATGTAAGCTATAGCTTCTGACCTTTAAACCAAAGCATACTCGTGATTTTATGACACTGATTACTGCTTTACTTAATCAGAAATGCAATCTTCATGTTATTTGTGTATTTCACTTTCATTTTATTACAATTAGGCCAACAGTGCCCCCTAAGGAATTAAAACTCCTTACCGGACGGGCATTAGGACACCAGGGGAGGCTGTTGCTGCTGTTACTTCAAGCGCTAGTGACTGTTGACACTTATAGCACAAAGGATGCGTCATTATGTACTTGTATTCTCAAATTAAATGCAGCGATCTAAAACAATGAATCTAATAACCAGGCAAAAGTTTGTTTCAAGAATGACCACACTGCTGACGTGATCTTATTGCTAGCACACCCTGAGCACATTTGCGCTATTCATCTTATTTTTCTTTACATTTTAAGACATTATCAGCTGATCCCGATATCGTTCCGATAATATCGTGCATCCCTAATGCAAAGGCTTTTCTTAACCAATGTTAAGTATGTAAAATGCGCATACACCATGTGAGAGAAAGCCTTTGATATTCCATACATTTTCTCATTAAAATACAGTGTCATACCCTAATGTATGAGAGAGTAAAGGACGTTCACAACACACTCCTCTCACGCATACGACTTGCTAAAAGAGGAAGGTGAGCAGAGAAAATGTAAATTAATCAATGCAAATACTGTATTGAGGATAATATAAAGGACTGTCAATCTGTTCGTCTGTGATGAGACCAGCCGGTGGTACAGAAAATAAACTAATCCATGCAATATCACAGCTCAGTGGTCTGCACAGTGACTTTAAAACTAATAAAACAGTCCACAAACAATCACAGCACCAACAGACAGGCATTCATTTGCAGAAGTAAGATAAAAAAAAAAAATGAAATAAAGAAAGAAAAATATATTTATTTTCTGGTTTAGAATGCAAAGGTCTCACACACACTGTTTCCTTCTCAACTGCTAGAGTTACACTGGGTCTACATTGTAAACGAGCAGTGCACCATGACACAACAAAACTATAGCAATCGCATTGTAATCAACAACACAACATAGCATGCTTAGTGTAAAGAGCTTTGTTCATTACAATGGGAACAATCTAGTTGTGCCGCGCCACTTGCTGCCAGTGAAAAACGCTTTACAGAATATTCATAAGCAGTCTCATAAATCAACGGCATACATAAACAGCTTTAGTGTGGCACTAAATTCTTCCCTCCATAACATACTGTATGGCCACACCCAGACAGAACCAGCATAAGCAGAACTTCAAAAAGAAAACTTCATAGATTTATGCCTGTTATTCACAAAGTTATAAGGACATCCTCTTGACCATTGTTTGATTATTTACTACACATTTTGGCTAGTCTGCTTATTCTGCCTACTACCAGTATAGCTCATATTTTACAGTCTAATTTCACTAAATTTGCAAAACAAAGTGCTGATAAAATGTTGATTACCTCTGGGCCTCCATATAGCTCAGTCACCATAGGTACTATCTGTATGTCTATGGCATAAAACTCACCCTTGGCTTAAAAAATTACTTTGGACTGTTTTGTCCATTGCAGTAGAAATAAACAGGTAGCGGATTTCACTCAAGGGAAATATCACAAATATAGACTGACACTTTCATTCAGTGCCGTCTAATCACACAGAGGTCAATCCACATGGACACAGGCAGCATCTGAACTGAAGCGCAGTTAAACGAGAGAGGGAAACATTCACTCTGCAACTGAAATAACCCGTCAAATGTTAATTATAGACCTGCTGAGTGTGAGGGGCTTGTGTGTCTGGATTGACTTCTTATTGGATATGTCAGACGGGCAAGGTCATTTAAGTAGGCTGTGTGTATGTGTGCATGTCAACATTCTCTGTGTGTGTGTGTGTGTGTGTGTGTGTGTGTGTGTCTTAGACTCGCTCTGTCTCCTTGTTGAATCATTCATAAGCATGTTAAAGCAAAACAATCAATGCTAAAAACTAACTCCTGCCCTTCAGCATGCTCTTCATACAAACATACCTCAAGGTTGCTGTGTGAGTGGGTAATACTTTACTTTAAGGTGACGTAGTTACAGTACAAATTACATATACTATAGAAATAATAGCCAATGGTGCATACTGTAATTACAAGCAGCTAAACCTAAACCAAACCCCAACCATAACCCTATAGTATGTGTGGTTAATTTACACTACGCAGTACTTTTTTGTGTCACCTTAAAATGAAGTGTAACCTGTGAGCGTACTATATGTGTGTCTTTGTGTTTGTGAATCTTCTCATTCAGTGATTCTTACCCATTTTGACTCCAAAAGCCCCACTATACACAACAATATTCAAAGGCCCCATGACTTCACCAGTTGTTACTGGATAAGGATTTAAAAATATATATTTTTACTTACAATTTCTAACCAATAAAATATTTTAGAGCTTGGTAGAACTATAGGTAAATGTACATTTATTACACAAATGCTCATGAAGTTAGGATTAGGGTAAAGATTTTATTTTAATTTACATGAATTCAAATCAAAATCAAGTCAAAGTACAGATACTGAGTTAAATTTTACTTTAATTTTACTGATTTTACATTTTACTTTTATCTGCCCAAAAGTATACTATATCTAGGTGTTTTAAAACAGTTTGATCCCTTATTCTTCAAAAACTAAAAAGAGTTGTTGTCTTCATATTTAGTTGTTTTGCCTTATTTTAATACTTATTTTGTTTTATTTGATATAACTTTAAGTCATCTTGAGGCCTCTTTGGAGGTTTCCTGAGACCCCCCTTAGTGTGCCCTGGCCCTGTGGTTAAGAACCACTGCTCTCTTCATTTTTCTAGAATCTACAATCTGAAGCTCATTGTAAGGAAGCAAAGCCTTTCAACTCATTTCCTGGCAGTTTGTGAACTGCAGGCCTCACCTTTACTTTTTCTTGAAGTTTTCCCAGGCTGACAGTGCTTTCTATGATGCGTGTGAGGATGCCCTGCTTGTCTTTCTCTAGAGTTGAAGCCTGAGGATGGAGAAAGGGAACAGGAAGGGTTACACAGCTACAGGGAGGCAGATTGAGGAAAAAGAGGGACATTGAAGAGAGCCATAATTAAGTTCTAGGGACAAGAGCCAGGAAAGAGAGAGAGTTGCCAGTTACTGTGATAAAAGTATGAAAACAGTAAAGCAAGAGCAGCAGAGCAAATCTTTAAAAGTTTGACTAGACTCATGGGTACTAACATTCTGTTGAGTACAAACATTTCCCCGAGCAGCAGTGAGGCTCACTGCTTGGAAAAAGAGGAGTGTGAAACTTTCATAATCCCCAAGCTTAAGGCTCTGCCTCAAACACAAAAGTTGCTGTGTGAAATGATTCGATGCAGGGTTTGAATGTAAACTCTTAAGGCGGATGAATTCAGGGAATATGGTCTGTCCTCGGTTAAAACATGCTTAGTTAAAATAAAGTATGAGGAGTTGTGCATTTATGATGTGGAAGAGTGTGAATCTTCCATAAAACAGTAATTAGGGCCCAACTAATCTGCTGCCTGTGACTTCATTCTGTCATGTATACTGTTATTAAGTCACTTTTTTTATAGGTAAAGGTGCAATGATAAGGTACCTCCATATGGGTAACTAGAACATTAATTATTCCATTATTCTTTCATTTTCTTAATACTTTCAATAAAATAAAAAAAACGTCCCAGGTTACGTATGTAACTGGTAATGATTATCCCTGAAAACTAGTCCTACACCTAATCAAGTTCCCCTTCGGGAACTCAAGCTGCGTCGGAAAACGCTAGGGGAATGCCTTCAGCGATACCAAGCTCTGAATCATATGTGTAATCAGTCAGAGGTGGGTGACGTCATGACCAGGAAGCTTTAAAAGCACGTGAGGTGCAGCCGGCATTAGCTTCTAGGAGTGAAGCAAGCTCTAGTAGGGATGCCGGAAGTATGGCCTTGCGACGCAGCGTCTCGTTCCCTCGGGGAACCATGGTTACATACGTAACCTGGGACGTTCCCCTTCGGGAACTCGAGCTGCGTCGGAAAACGTTAGGGGAACGAGATGTCCACGCCGCCAGACTTGCAAATCCCTGCCTAGTGTGGAAGAGCACAGCTATGGCAAGAGAACAGAGGGGCCTGGAATGGTTCGCAAATCTAGGTCATAGAACCTGACGAATGTGAGGGGCGTAGACCATCCCGCAGCGTTGCAGATGTCCTGCATAGGAACACCTGCCAGAAAGACCTTGGAGGCCGCCACACTTCTTGTTGAGTGAGCCTTGACCCCCAATGGTGAGGGGAGATCAGAGGACTCATAGGCAACAGTAATGGCATTCACTATCCACCGGCTGAGGGTCTGCTTGGAAGCAGGATGACCTCTCTTAGGGGGACCATAGCACACAAGCAGTTGGTCCGCCTTTCTCCACAGGGCAGCTCTGTGGACGTATGCATCCAGTGCTCGCACTGGACACATACAATTAAGCCTCTGCTGGTCGGGCTCCCTGAAGGGAGGAGGATAAAAAGCCTGGAGTACGACAGGCCGTGGTGTAGAGGAGGGGACCTTAGGGACATACCCCGCACGAGGGTACAAAAAAGCTTTGGCCAGACCGGGCGCAAAGTCGAGATAGGAAGGGGCCACAGAAAGGGCCTGCAGATCCCCAACTCTCTTTAGAGAAGATATAGCAAAGAGAAACACAGCCTTTCACGTAAGAAGACGATCTGATATCTCCTCGATAGGCTCAAAAGGAGGCCTACAGAGAGCTTCTAACACCACAGCGAGGTCCCAAGGAGGGACACGAGATCGTACCTGAGGCCTCAGCCTCATCACACCGCGGAGGAAACGTGTAACCAGGGGGTCCTTGCCCACTGAGTGACCATCAAGAGGGGCGTGGTAGGCCGCTATAGCCGCCACGTAGACCTTCAGGGTGGAGTGGGTTAACCCCGCGGAGAAACGGGCCTGCAAGAACTCCAGCACTGTACCAATCGGGCAGTTAACTGGGTCAAGCAGGCGGTCTCCGCACCATGAAGTGAAGAGCCTCCACTTCAGGGCGTACAGTTTCCTCGTTGAGGGAGCTCTAGATTGGAGGATGGTCTCAACAACCTCGGAGACCAGAGGCTATGAGTTGTGCCCCCTCAGGGGCCACACCCACAGCTTCCACAACACTGGGCGGGGGTGAAAGATCATACCCTCCGCCTGTGAAGAGGAGATCTCTCCTGACGGGAATCTCCCATGGAGTGCCGTCGAGGAGAGAAATCAGGTCCGAGAACCATACTCGG